ATATATGAACTAACTGATGGGAAAGTCACTAAGTTCTGCGAGACATATTGCTTTGCCTGCAGTTCATCCGAAATAGTACTGGCATTATTGATTTTTGTTTTCATTTATAACTTATTAGTGGATCCCTGAAATGTGATTTTGTAACACTGATGTCGATACATCAACTTGTCCGTCCGATAGGCTATAGTGGGACCCGAGTGATGAGAATGTAACTTCCGGTCATCAAGGCCACTGTCAAAAACAATCCTTGACTATTGACATAAAACATACAAGATGGATAAAATAACATCTTTGTAAGATAACGTGAAGCCACAAATATTGGTACAACTCGCCTAAACAGTCAGAACAACTAAGTTAAACGAACATATCTACTAGTCATGCTCTAAAGAATCAAGTGGTAACCTGAGTTTTCTATATTTTAACTAGGAAATCAGTCAGCTACTGTTATTAGACAATGTTGAAACCACCTTTGTGTTAATTTGAGTAAAACGAATTATCAGCTATATTATTTGGAGTCATATTATCAGCTATATTATTTGGAATCATATTATCAGCTATATTATTTGGAGTCATATTATCAGCTATATTATTTGGAGTCATATTATCAGCTATATTATTTGTGTATAAAAACATTTTAATGTATTCAAAATCTTTATAAAAATATTCTAGTTTAGACAACTTCATTCCAGGATTTTTTGAAATTGATTTGATTAAGATATTAATTTATTGAGCTTATAAAATCACCAGCCCATATAAACATGTTAATAAAGAGTTTGAAAACATTAAAATGCACGCTAACCACTCGACCACGCCCAGCCTACAAATGCAGTCTTTATGCTCGTAGGATTCCTCTGTCGACAGATGGCTTTCCATATAAAACTGTTGATAATATCAGTGTTATTAGGATGAAGTCAAAAATCCTAAAAAAAAAACTTTGTCCATGATATTGCCATAAACTGCCAAACATATATTAAATGTGAAAAAAAATCACATCTTTCTTATCAAGTTCAAAGATGAAATATTAAAGTGTGAAACACTTTTAAAGTTGTGCATTAATTTGGTTTTCCTAGATTTAGTTTTGAAGGTATATCTAATAAACTACCAATCGATTAGAAACACGTATAAAGAAATATGCCAGTTTAGTGACCAATCACAAAGCGAGTGAGCATACGTAATCATGCCATCAGTAAATGAAGTAGCAATAAGTTACAATTCATTATTGTGAAAGAAAGTAACGAAGAAAGTTTAACTATAAAACAGCCTATTACGATTACTAGATTGGGCCACAAATCAAAGAAATGAGCTAAGCAGCCAAGTTACTGGTGTGAAAGTGGTGCGGATGGAAACATAATACTCAGGCGATAGGTAACAATAGTACGGATGGAAACATAATACTCAGGCGATAGGTAACAATAGTACGGATGGAAACATAATACTCAGGCGATAGGTAACAATAGTACGGATGGAAACATAATACTCAGGCGATAGGTAACAATAGTACGGATGGAAACATAATATTCAGGCGATAGGTAACAACACATATTAACAGTAGTATGATAAATATTTAATCTATAAAGGACTTTAAACCAAAACACAACAAAGATTTGTAATTAATTCTCAAATCACTGACAAAATATTAATTCTTTTCTCACAAAATGACAATGTTTGTCAAACAAAGGTTTTCTATGCGACAAGTTTTTCAAACTCCCGTCGATCTATCAATACTCGTGTACCAATCTAGGATTCAGAATAACTGCTTTACATCTCAGCTATGTCCACCTTCCTACACTACTTTAATAAAAGTGCTTTATTTAATAACTGCTTTCCATCTCAGCTATGTACACCTTCCTACACTACTTTAATAAAAGTGCTTTATTTAATAACTGCTTTCCATCTCAGCTATGTACACCTTCCTACACTACTTTAATAAAAGTGCTTTATTTAATAACTGCTTTACATTTCAGCTATTTCAGTATGATGTAGGGATGGCAATGACAAAAAAGTACAAAAACAAGGTAGGGATAAATACATAAACAAAAATCACTATATAAGTAGCAAAATATTTCCAAGAATAAAACTTTTATCCACAACTAAATGTTGAGTTCCTGTCAATTCCATTAATTCAGGTTTGAATAAAAACATTTAAACTGAATAGTGCTATACAATCTTACAGTGGCTAAGAACCACGAACTTGTACGATTGACTCAGTACTTAGAGTATTTACGTAGGGATTTTTGAATGTTTTTTAATATTATTATTCTGTTTTGTTTCTGTATTTTTTGGCATTGCCATCCTTATATCATACTTAATTTAATATTTTTTTATTTTTTTTATTACTTGTTTCCCTTTTTTTCAAAAATGTCATAGAAGTGGGTTGATAAATGAACGTTTGATTTATTTTAACAATTCACTGTTTTTGGAAAGAGGACCCACATAGCGGTGGTGATACACCGTCTTAATGTCTTAACCTCCATTTGCCAGTCCCACGTGAAGAAATTCAAAAAAATTAAATAATCAAAAGAAGTAGAAAATAGGAGAGCGAGATGTGGGTGCTCAGGCCCACAACGTCACCCTTCTATATCACCCTTCACTGCATGTAGACAGTTGTGGGAAGGTGACTGCTCTCCAAAAGTAAAAAAAACTAGTTTTTGTTGTCTACTGTGCTAATAATTAGTGCTTTACTACTACTACAGTAGGGGCTGGAATGTCAACCTCGGGGGGTAAGTTTATCTTGCTTATCCACAAGTGGTAGTACCTTATTTCGTTTTTCTAATCTCTACTTATTTTGATTATTTTATTTATATTTTTTGAATTTCTTCATGCGAGACTCGTGAACGGAGGTTAAGACTGATAGACGGTGTCTCCCCACCGCTATGTGGGTCCTACTTCCTCAGTCACCTCCAAAACCCACGCCACATTCTATATCCCACATTATAGCCTGTACCCCAGGGATCCTCTTGACTTGTGCAGTGTCTTGATTTGATTTTTGTTTGGACTTGTTTTTGTTCATTTGGATGTCATTTATCACAGGTTTGTATTTGCTCTTTTTTAACGTATTCCTCCTTTTGAGTTTGTTTCGCTTGACTTTTTGAATATTGAATTTCTCTATCTATCGTGCTGGAGCGACGTTAAGGGGATATTTCAGAACCCGAGCCTTCCACACACCAACTCACTGCATGTGCTTACAATCGACTCCACCACATGCTAGAGTCACGTCGATTAATAGAGAGGACATCATACAAATCCCAAGCCATGAAGCTGATACCACACACAGCTTCCAGGCTTGGCCCTACTGAAAATTTGAAAAAAAGTAGACTTCTATATAATGTATTGTTTTGATAATTAAGAAACTGGTGTTTTAAAACTCAGAGTCAATCATATGTACACAGCACTGTCAGTTGCATAAATACATCGAATGTTAATTTATATTATTCTGCAATGAAAAGTCACAAACTGTCGTCATATAAGAACAGTTTCTGCTGCTATCTAATGGCCAGAAATGAAATTTATTTATGAAACATAGCAGTGAGTTCAGTTTATAATCATATATTTCTAAGTAGTGGTTTTCCTCCCCCCCCCCCCATAAAAATACGTGTGATAAAGAAAAGAATAATATTACTGTTACACAAGCTCTGAAACACTCGATAATAGCAATTAGATACTAAAATAAGGCTATAACTTGACTTTAGTAGTTACTTGTAAACATCAGAGTAATAGATTAGATGCGGCAGCCATTTTTTTCTCGGCCCATCCCTACATACCAAGCACTGCCGTACTTAGTAATAAGGAAACATTGTACTATTTTACTTGTATAGTGAATATTTAACGCACTACCTCCCAGTAGCTCAGCGGTAAGTTTGAAGCCTTATAATGCTAAAAACCGGGTTTCGATAACCGTAGTAGAAACAGCACAGATAGCAGCCCATTGTGTTCCTTTGTGCTTAACAAGAAACAAATTTAATGCACTTCATGAGCGAAATATGTTAAAGGTACTCAATATAGTGAAATTTTCTGGATAATAGTATCTTACCTTAATAAACATTCACTTATTAGTTACTGTTGTAAAACAGTTCCCGCCTTAGCTATTGTTGTAGAACAGTTCCCGTCTGTTTATAATACCAAAGTCTTAGCTACTGTTGTGGAACAGTTCCCGTCTGTTTATAATACCAAAGTCTTAGCTACTGTTGTGGAACAGTTCCCGTCTGTTTATAATACCAAAGTCTTAGCTACTGTTGTGGAACAGTTCCCGTCTGTTTATAATACCAAAGTCTTAGCTACTGTTGTGGAACAGTTCCCGTCTGTTTATAATACCAAAGTCTTAGCTACTGTTGTGGAACAGTTCCCGTCTGTTTATAATACCAAAGTCTTAGCTATGTTGTAGAACAGTTCCCGTCTGTTTATAATACCAAAGTCTTAGCTATTGTTGTAGAACAGTTCCCGTCTGTTTATAATACCAAAGTCTTAGCTATTGTTGTAGAACACTTCCCGTCTGTTTATAATACCAAAGTCTTAGCTATTGTTGTAGAACACTTCCCGTCTGTTTATAATACCAAAGTCTTAGCTATTGTTGTAGAACAGTTCACGTCTGTTTATAATATCCAAAATAAGCAAAAATAACATGAAAACTATTGTACTGACCCTTTTCAAGTCCTATTTTTGTAATAATATACACGACACATGCTAAGAAATACGGGTCATTTTGACATTGCAATTATCATTGAGAAATTAGACAAAGATATTTATTCAATCTTTTGAATGTTCCCATATGTTTCAGAAAAAAAACTAAAACACGTTATGGAACTTTCGTCTTATGGGAGATGCCAATCTTTTTATCATTATAAAGAATTCCCGAGTTTGAAATGAAAAGATCCAACTCCGGTATCATCTGCATTGTAACAGGCATGTTTCTGCGCCCCCTAATGGCGAACTGTTTGTCATAACATTACGTTATAATATTATAGAAGTTGACGTCCAGTTCACATCAGCAGACGCACGCGATACGAGACAGCGTTAACGCGCCCGCGCGTGAACTGAAAGCCCCCGAGTGCGAAATTATGTTCACTTCTTTTCTGGTAGTAATGTTAGCCGGCAGGGTGTGGACTAGTTTTAATGAGCAGAATATGATCAAACACAATGACGTGCGAAACATAGATCAAAGAAAACTAGACGCACTACTTAAGTTTGCAGTGAGAGAAATAGAAAAATTGAAACTTAATCACCACAACTTAGATGAATGCCACGGTATTGAAGTAGCAAGCATTTTAAGAGGAAGAAAAGAAGTAAGTTTTCCAAAAATATTTGTTTCGTTTTTCTATTCATTAATTGACTAGTTTTCCCAGTATTATTACAACAACAGCATTGGTTAGTTGGTGAACATTTGTATCCATTAATCATGCCGGTTGAATTTCAACCAATGCTGTTGTTGTAATAATACTAGTTAGTGAACATTTGTATCCATTAATCATGCCGGTTGAATTTCAACAAACTTAGAACATTTAAACTGAAACTTTTTATATACCAAAGTTAAGTTGTTGTTTTTCTTTAAGTACTGTTTGTAGATTATAACTAATTACCTGATCAACGTATTTTTGGACATGAAACAGAACCCAATCGATTATTTACCGATAATTGCCGTTTTATGGTTTGGAATATCAGTCACGAGGTGATGGGCTAAACTCGTAGACAAGATGTGCGTTGTTTTCTAGAATACACAAACTTAAGGAAACCCCAGCACGCCGTCTACCTATTGACGTCAAATAAGAAAACTAGTCAGTTCCAGATTGAAAACGCAATCTCCGAGTCGCGGGTTTGAATCCCATCGCCGATCACGCTCATCCTTTCAGCCGTGGAGGCGTTATAAAGTAACGGTACACCCCACCTTTCATTGATAAACAGAAGCCCAAGAGTTGTCAGTGGGTAGTGACAATTAGGGACAACTAGCGCAGATAACCGTCGAGTAGCTTTGCGTGAAATACGACACTCTAAACTGAAAAAAAGAGTTAAGTCAACTGAAAGTCTGTTTGTTTTTGTTTTTGGAAAACTGAGAATTAACATTTTTTTAAAACTAAAAACGAAGATAAAATCAGTGAAAATGAAGGCCTTAAAACATACAAGCACCATTATTTGTCAATATATTGTTCTTACGCTCTTATTTATAATGATTAGAATACATTATTTCAATTTCATTAGTTGTCAAGTTGGTGGCTATAAATAAATAAATAGAAAATAAATTATTTATGAATTTCAGTGACGAAAAGATGACGTAGAGGCATGCCTATCTAGTGGCGAATCAAAGAATAAATTAGACCTCTACGTCATCTTTCCTTTGTTGAAATTAACATTTTGGTGAAGGATAAAAATTCATAAATAGAAATAACCAGCGAGTTCCGCTGAATAATAATAATGGATAATTAATTGTGACGATATGTTATCCAAACACCTAAAGTATTTTATGTTGTGACTGGTAAATAAAGGTCTTTACCCCAAAACTGGATGGACTTCAGTTAACGCAACTGTATTTAACTATCTAACAGCCCGTGATTTCAGTTAATACAACTGTATTTAACTATCTAACGGCCCGTGATTTCAGTTAATACAACTGTATTTAACTATCGACACACTAATCGTTTGTTTATAACAAAATAATCTCATGTAGAGTGTATCAACTATTTGTCTGTATCAACATAATTTCATGCGATGTGTATTGGTTTTTATCAGTTAGAATACAACCATGTGTATTCAAAGTTTGTTTATTTGTATTTAAGCTCAAAGCTACACAATGGGATATTTGTTTTGTAGTCATCACGGGTATCGAACCCAGATTTTTAAAGTCCGCAGGCTTCCCACTGTGCCACTAGGGGAGTTTTTGTTCTTAATTTCTTTTTACTCTTCTGTCTAAGAATATTGGTTCTTTATTTAATTTTATAATTTTAATAAACGAGAGTTCTCGTGCGCATTAACTTTATTACGAAGAATACAAGTCTAGTTCGTTGACCTTGTTTTTAAAAAAGGTAAGTTTATTTTTTTAATATTCCTCTAATATCCTTACTTTCTAATGATTTTTATAAATGTAACAGATAAGTTTGGGTTGTTGTTTTTACCCACTAACATGTGATTTTAAATGTAAGAATCTGATTTCTAGGGTTAATTGTCTAACCCTTCTTCTATTGTTAGCTTTACATCTTTGAATCTTGATATGTTCCTTTCACTACGCTGAAACCGTCTGTAAGGCCATTGATCTCCAACTCAAGTTGGTAATTTAGGATTATTTGTTTTCCCGTAAGCTAGTAAGCACCAAGACATCTGACAGCCAATAAGTACGTTAGTTTTGTTGTTAATACCCTGTTGTTGTTGTTTTTATTCAATTGTGAATATTGGGTTTTTACCATAAATCCAAAAAAAGTATTTCAGGTCAAACAGTTACATGAACATACATGTAGTTCTATTCACTATTTTACCACACCTATTAGACTGCCTACTCTTAGCTACTGATGGACCTGCACTCGCTTAACTTACAAGTGAATCTTATGCTGACTGAACTTAGTGATTTCGGTTTAAATCATTTTACTCCGAACTCGGGAAGAATTCAGAGTCAAAGGAAACCGGGGATGTTCAGAAAATTATTTCTATTCACTCCACTAACTCCTTTACTGAACTACTCAGTTGGTTCAATTAGAGGGGGGGGGGGACAGGAGGGCCATTTGGCTCGGGCCTCAAGTTTAAACACTTGATATTTTTTGCATTTGTTAAGTCTCGTGACTTGTTTTTACACACAGAAAAAGGCTAGAAAAACATTTATTAAATGTTAACAAATATATGTTAAATTAAAAATATCCATGTCTTACTTTGTTTTCATGTGTCATCATTCTAGATAGAAGTGGCCAGGGTCTCTCCGAGCCTCTTAGATGGCCTGCTACTTAGTAACGTTTACAAAGGTTCCTGCTACCGAAGATAGAACCAAGATGTCACAAAAAAAGAGTTCAAAGACTTCAAGATGGGACAGCTTTTGGTTGCAACACCGATATTATGAGTGTTCAAAACGAATCAGTTCACCAATTCATATTCAATTGCACAAGGAACCGAAAAATAAGCGGCATGCCAAAGCGGAATACTGACCTGACCACCGAAACATAATCAATCCTTTGCTTACGTAACTTAGAAAAGTGTTGAGAAACAAAACTTTACACTCAAAACTTCCCTAACAGTTAAGGACCGCAAGGTCTGTACATACACCGGTTGATTCCCTGACAGTTAAGGGCTGCAAGGTCTGTACAATCACGGTTTTAACACTCGTCACAGCCATTAAATATCGGCTTTTCTCTACCTTGACCGTAGAAACGTAAGCAACAGAAAATCATCACATGAAAACAGGAATCACGCAAGTTTTTGTTTGTATCAAATACGTGGTTTTAAGTTTCACGACAACTTTTAAAGTTTTATTTCATTATCACCTGACTGCAAGGTGAGGTGGGGTTAGTAAAGTATCATGGTTTGAACCTATTTCCACTGGTTTGTGCCTCACTGGTACCAATAGTATCATGGTTTGAACCTATTTCCACTGGTTTGTGCCTCACTGGTACCAATAGTATCATGGTTTGAACCTATTTCCACTGGTTTGTGCCTCACTTCCCGCGAGAAGTACAGTTAATGGTACTGAGAATAGCATCTCTTTAAAACATCGATAATTTTTCAGACCCATGCGATTGTTACAGATTGTAATATTGCAGTTGTACATTACAAAGTATATTTTTTTATTGTAAGAGCACCATCTCTATTCACGACACCACTTCTTTCGAACTGTCATTTACTATATCACCATTCATAGAACATTATGCGAAGGGCATTGTAATGTACGGCAAGTAAAGAAAAACGGGTAGTATGAGAGACATGCTCTGCAATCCGAGGATGAGATAACCAATACCAATCAGGATTGATCGTACTTCTTTATAGAATAAAAATGAAGCTTCAGAAGTTTTGAACAGAAAGGATATAAAAAAAAACATGTGGCCTATATAGCAAAAGGACGTTCAATGAACAGAATTACATTTTTTTTTTTTTTTTTTACAGGAAAAAGAAGTCACACGTTATTATCTGACACTGAAGGTTCAGTCGACAGCCGTCAACATAGAAGAGTGCAGGAAGAAGATTTCAAGCTTTGTATTACAAGTAAGTAAAGAAGACTTGATATTAATTTTCTGTGAGTTTGTCGTTCTTTTCCTCTGTCTTAGCCTAATGGTTTGGGCACACGACTCTCAGGTTCAAATCCCGTCACTGAACGTTCTCGCCCTTACCAACAGTGGGGGCGTTATAATGTGACTGTCAATCCTACTAGTCGTTAGTAAAGAATATCCCCAAACGTTGTCTGTGCGTGATGTTGACTAGCTGCCTTCCATCTACTATATTACTTCAGAATTAGGGACGGCTAGCACAGACAGCCCTCATGTAGCTTTGCGCAAAATTCAACAAAGAAACAAACTTTATGTCATTAAGTTTCCCTGACGTTCTTTGTATATCTAATACGTGTCTATCGTTCTTTCTTCCTATCAATCTATCTGCACATCTTCCTCCATTTACCTGTCGCTCTCGATTTATAAATCTGCTTGTCTAAATGTTCTCTCTTTTCCCCCTTGCAAATTGTGTTCTATTTGTCATTCATATTCACGTTTATCTCAGGATCTCTATCAAATCTGTCTGCATTTCGTTCTCTCTATCTACCCGCCAGTCGTTCTTTTCTATCTGTCCGAGTTATCTTTCAATCACTGTGTCCCCCCGATGGAACATCGACGTACAATACTAAAAACCGGGGCTCGATTCTCTGCGGGGGACACAGCAGATAACCTAATGTAGCTTTGCTCCAAAAAAGAAACGTACAAGTTAAGTTGTATATAGCTCTTATACATGTGACTGAGTAAAATTACAACATACCCGGCATTATTTTACTCAATCTAGTCACTTTGATCAAGGAAATACTATAGTTCTTTTAAGTTGACACCATTACAAATGTAACTTATACGAGATACTAGAAAGCAGTGTGTCAAAGAATAACTTCGAACCTAACTAAACGAACGAAAAAACAGCTAAATAAGAAACTCTTGGAATATAATGAGCAAAAAACAGATACGTATAAATGACTTTAAACGCGCCATTATCCCATATCTATAAGGTATACCAGAGACACAAGCCTAACGTTCCCCTCTCGTCATATTGCATCATAGACTCAGTAATACTTGAGAGAATTCATTAGGGTTCCTTTCTATTCGCACACCTTCCAATGACGACATTATGGCCAGCATAGGCGACCATGGATATAAAATATAAACTTTTGAGTGAAGACATTTCACGCCTATCAGCATATAAAGCATCTTGGATTTATTAGACTTTCATCTTCAACTATATTTCTTCAACTGTAATAATCAGTTTCATAGATTGGCTGGTTGCACGCCAATGAGATCGTCTTTTACATTTGTTGGAACAGAAACTTTCGTGGATTGTTTGAACATTCTGTTATCTTCCCCAGCAACGTGAATGAGTAAGGTACCTCCAAGTCACGTTAGTTTAGTGGTTTTTATAGAGGAGAGAAGCTCAAGAACCTTCATAAATATTTTAGCTAACTCCAAAGCATATTTTGAAGTTTTCAATGAAACTAGAAATAGGTAACATTTCCTTTTTTTCAATGTTTTAGTTCATATTTTGAAGTTTTCAAGGAAACTAGAAATAGGTAACATTTCCTTTTTTTCAATGTTTTAGTTCATATTTTGAGGATCACGTACACAAACTCGCATCATGTTTGTGCCATTCTTTTTCCGTCAAAATTAGAACTGCTAAAACTCTTAACTCCAAAGCTATAAACATTTACTTTTCATATTACATTGAGGAGAAACAAACATTTTGAGCAAGACTTTAAAAAACTACAGTTATTAAAAAAAAGCAACGCACATTGTACTGTGTCAACAAATCTAACTATTTAAAATTATTCTGATTAAGAAGTTAGCACACAGGATCACCTACAAAAGTTGTAATGGTTTTTAAACGAGACCCAAAACTCGAGCGCTTTAGAATAGTTCACTATTCTTCTTCAGGAGAATAAAGGGTTATGTTCAATGAGCTCACTATATAGCACTATCAAATACTGTAACGCCAAAAGGCATCAATCTCGATCCTGGGATTGTTGACGCACACACACGCTTGCTCCAACACTTACTTACTAACGGCATACACACACACGCTTGCTCCAACACTTACTTACTAACGGCATACACACACTAGTAGTTTTTAAGAATCATTCATCACTAAGAATAGACTAATTCTATTTATTTCTTAACTTTTATTTCTAATAAACAACTTAACAAATTTTTTTCTTCTTGCATTTTCTTTAATCAAACTTTATATTAATCTTTATCTGTTAATTTTCGTTTCGTTTGTATAACGCATTTATGAATGGGTCATTTTGAAGCTATTGATAGAATGTTCATCTCTTTTAAATGTTCTTCTCTAAGCGTATTATAATACCAATTAAAAGTTTTGTTTATTTGTATAGTAACTATTTAGCTTCGCCTAGTGTATTTCACTTAGGTACAGGCTTGTCAGTTTATATTCTTGCTTTTATTCTGATATCATCAGCTAGGACCTGCGAATGTATGTCAAACCAGGGGCTGTCTTTTGTATGAACTCCTTTATTTGTCTCCATTGGTTGCTTTTGCATTGCATTTCCTATCTTGAAAGACACGTTGTTTATCAGAGCTATTATTTTCCTCATAACCGTTATCACTAAGAGCATCATCAGTGGAATATTTTTTTATTTTTTTTTTTATCTCAGACTCATTTTCGCTAGAAGGATCGACCTCACTAAAGATGTCTTTCTTTAGTAGAACCGTTTCCATTCTGAGTGTAATCCTGAATGAATGTTGTTTTTTTTCTATTCCATGTATCAATTGTTCGTGTTCAATTTACGAGTAAAATACTTCATATATATTACACCAGCCCGAATATAATGCGCCCCCAATTTTGAAAGGTTAATTTTATTTATTTATTTATTTATTTAATATACGCCAGTTATACAAAATGTATTGAGTAGTTTCTAGGTGCAGTAAACAACTATCGATGTATTGAACATTTTTTAAAATTTTTCACTGGAATTTTTTTTTTTTTTTTACGTGCAAGTTTTATAAAATTTATTGAAAAGTTTATACGTGAAAATACACT